AACGGCTAGCCTATAAATTACGAAAGATTTTAGCTGCCCATCTCGAATCTATATATTCCGTCGAGCCGCTGCACAAACAACCAAAGAGAAAGAACTGATTCGAAAATTCGGGAGATTTTTTTTATTAGTGCGGCCCAAAGTCTTCGACCCGATGAAATATTTCATTTATCTTTCTTAATCTAATTATTGCGCGATAGATTGGAAGAGCGCATATATATCCGTAGATAGATACGACCAATCTATAAATTCTGAAAGATTTAGATTCTGCCTCCCGGATTTCCGCATTCCACCGTCCTGTCGCGCATACAACCAAAGAGAGATGACTCACGTAGAACGTCGCTCCAGGGAGACAAGCGGGCCAGGGCCGCGGATATTCAAAGAGAAAGAAATGATACTCTTTAAGATCGGGGGTATATCTAATAAACGCGGCTATCTCGGGACTGCACGTTCCGCCATACAATTATAGACGCAATCAAAGAGAGAGAAGGGTTCTAAAATCTCCGCGAATTTAGAGTCCCTATAGAGCCCGCAAGAGGTATTTGAGAAGTGAGCCAGAAAGGCTAAGCCGCGCGCAGTCGAAATAAATATAAGGGCTTATATCATAATATTGAGATATATCAATATAAAATTCAATAGATAAATCTCATTTCCAAATATCATCCTGCAAATAAAATGATCGTAAATTTTCATCAAGAAAATATATAATTCAAATCAGAAATAAAGGTATAACAGAAAATCAGATCTAATCAAATATATATTTAAATATTACGAAGATGAATAATATTTTATGCAAACTTTTAGTTAAGAAATTAAATCGATAATCAATTATATAAGGAAAATTACGATTTGAAAAGAAAAATCATTATCAGAATATTGACGCATTTAATCATATAAGAAGAGAGGGCGCGCAAGCGCCAACGAGAAAATTTTTTTCGCCCGCCGACTGATATACGCCAATCTACGACAAAAATAAATCATGTCGACTAATTCCCTGCTTCCATGAAGCGCTAGCTGGCACGCACTGATTTTTTTTTGGACCCCCCAAGGCTTTGGGCCATATGCAAGATCTTCAAAGGACGTCAATTTTCGAATCAAAAAATACATAGCTGTCCAAATCCTCAAGATTTTGATCCTCCAGCCCATCCCCCCCAAGCCTTTGGGCTATATGCAAGACCCCTCAAAAGACGTCAATTTTCGCCTCAAAAAATATATATCTATCCAAATCCATAAATCTTTGATCCTCCAGCCCGCCCCTCCCTCAAGGCTTGGGACCATATACAAGATCCCTCAAAGGACGTCAATTTTCGCCCCAAAATATGCATATCTATCCAAATTCTTCCCAAAAGACCTTGCGCCATAAGCAAGACCCCTCAAAAGATTTCAATTTCCGCCCCAAAAATATATACCTATCCAAATCCGCAGGTCTTTGAGCCTCCAACCCATCTCCCTCAAAAGGTCTTGGGTTATATAGAAAATTCTTCAAAAGACGTCAATTTTCGTATCAAAAAATATATTTCTATCCAAATCTATAGACCTTTGACCCTCCAGCCCATTCCCCCCTCCAAGGTTTTGGGCAATATACAAGACCCCTCAAGAGCCGTCAATTTCCGCCCGCAAAAATACATATCTATCCAAATCCTTTCCAAAAGGTGATGGGCCATATGCAGGACCCCTCAAAGGACGTCAATTTTCGAATCAAAAAATTCATGCCTTTCTAAATCCGTAGGCCTTTGACCCCATATATAAGGTCCTTCTATTGCGGTTAATTTCCGCTTCAAAAAATACATATCTATCCAAATCCGCAGGCCTTTGACCCTCCAGCCCACCTCCCCCAAAAGGCCTTGAGCCATATGCAAGACCCCTCAAAAAAACGTCAATTTTCGAATCAAAAAATGCATATCCATCCGAATCCATAGATCTTTGTTTCTCCAGCCCACCCCATCCCCCAAGGCTTTGGACCATATGCAAGCTCCCTCAAAAGACGTCAATTTTCGCCTCAAAAAATATATGCCTAAATAAATCTACAGACCTTTGAGCCTCCAGCCCACCCCTCCTCAAGGCTTTAAGTCATATATAAGAATCTTCAAAGGACGGCAATTTTCGCATCAAATAATATATATCTATCCAAATCCGCAGATCTTCGATATTCCAACCCATTCTCCGCCCCCCAAGACTTTAGGCCATATACAAAACCCTTCAAAAAACCTCAATTTCCGCCCCAAAAAATACCTAACCAAATCCGCAGACCTTTAATCCTCCAGCCCGGATCTTCGATCCTCCAGCCCACCCCCCCCCCCCAAGATAGCCTTCTAGACATTGCTTTTCTTTTTATTTAGAATTAAATTCATCAAAGAACTGAAAATTCGACGTGCGATATTATTAAGAAAGAATATCTATTTGATTTTTTCTATAAATTTCAAAAAAAAAAGATTTATTCATAATTTAGCTTTCATATATCCTCCACCACGACCATCATTCCCTCTCTAGACTTATAGCTAGGCAGAGAGACGGGGGCGGGGGCGACGCGCCGGAAGATTATCCGAGATTTTGGGTCGCCCTGCCGGGACCAAAAAAGTTCAAATATTTTCAAATTTCTAGCTTTTCTCAAGGGCTCTAAAGGTTTCTGGGAAATCCGCAGGAGCCATTTTATTTGAGTCAAATGAGAATATACCCCGCGCGAACAATGTTACAAATAGCAGCGACATTTTATTGAGATACAATAAATTGATAGGAATATATATAAACAAATTCCATATAAGGAACTATAGAAGAAAGTACATAAATACACAGTAGAATAAACCCATTGAGGAGCTGACAGAGCCGGCAGACGGCGAATCCTAGACTTGACAGACCGATATATTGCTAGACAAAGAGACTGAGAAAACGCACAAATTACAACTATAAACCACAAACATGAAACCGATAGACTCAACGACAGACCTGTCATCAAATCGACAAACTGAGGCACGGACAAATCGGCACATAGAGAAGTTGACAACTTTGAGAGATCATGAGATCGGCAGATTGACAGACCGACATACGGGCAACTTCCCCGCTGGATTGATTGATTGATTGAAAGATTGATAGGCTGATAAACCGACGGATTTAATTTTTTTCGGACCGCTTGACGGATAAACTGATAGACTGAACAGACGGACAGAAGGACTTTACAGAACGTTGAATCGACAGAATGAGAGACCGACAGATTCGACAGAAGATAGACGGTCAGACCGGCGAACTGACAGAGCGACTGACATACTCATAGACCGACAGACCGTGAGACTGACAGCCCGACACACCATTAGAACGACGGATCGCAGCTTGACAGACCGACAGCCTGACTGATTGATCGTCATTCCGATTCACCGATAGACTGGGAGTTGGATTGACAGAACTACTCAGGTTTGTGGCGGCGCCATGCAGCCAGAGACAAGTAAATGAGGCGGAGAGAGGGGGGAGGGGGGGCCGTACCATCAAAGATCTTCGAGATTTTTGGTCACTCCCCAGACCAAAAAATCTCAGAGGTTTTAGACCCTCTAGCTTTTCTGAAGAGCCCTAAAAATTTTGAGAAAGCTGCCAGGGAACCCGTAAGAGGCATTTTAATGGAGAGCCGGAAAAGCTAGGCCCCGCCAGTGACATGGCCGCAAGTTGGCGTGCCATGTTATTGCGATATAAATAAACTTTCCCTACAGAGAATGAATTGAGTAGGCTTTGCCGCAAGCCCAGAAGGTCTATTGCAAACTACAATCTTTGATTCCAAAGCATACATCCGTCTCATGCCAAACGGGCCTCCTAATTCCGAGAGAAAACATACCCGAATTTCGGGCAAGTAATGAGTTCTAGTCTTCTTGTTGATGAGTATCGTGTTCACTATGGATGTGAGCTTTATTTCTTCCATTATATATAAATCAAGTATCTATTCATGGAAGTCATATTCACGTTTTGGGCTGCATTCATTCAAATCGAATTCCTTTGCTGGAATCTTTGTGCAAGTCTATATTCCTACTTCTCCCCCTTTACATCCCTTAAGTTCTGCTATTTCTGCAAAAAAGAATTGTTGACATGATAGGGAGCCTCATGATGGAGCAGCAAAATTCCACATGGATTCCATGAGGCCTGACTGGATCAATGCTTGGGTTTATATGAGGTGTATGAATGGCATATATGGGGTTTTTCAAGGGTAATTTAGGGGATAGGGACAGAGGGGTCTAGGGTTTAGAAAGACAATTATTGTTTTGGCTAGAGGTAGTGCACGGTGCAGTTGTGCTTAGCACACAGCCTTGATGCAGCGCTCTCAGATAGCAGGGCCTGCAGCGTGCGGGCAGCATGTTTGCATGTCCCTTCCTGAGATCTAAGCAAGAGCACCAACAAAAAGAGGAGCCCGAGTCCTTGGAAACCCAAAGGATGCTTTGGCATTGCAAGGGTTCCTTTAACTTTAAGTGGGATTCTAAATGGAACATTTTGAGCAATTTTCAAAAGGCTTGGGATCAGGCCTGCACTTGAACACCGTTGGCATGGGGCAGCAGAACCACAAGTGATGGACCTTGCAAGGATGCTTTCTGTGGGGGGGGGGTACTAGCTGGTGGTACATCCCGCACGCGCTATGACTTCTTTCTATGCAGCCGAACGTGTCAGGGGTGCAGTTCTCAAACACTGAGGCAACCGCAACCCATCCCGTTGGCGCCCACTGCACCTCCGCCCCCTGCTCTCCCGCGGGCCTGCAGGGAAGTGCAGGGAACTGCAAATCTCGAGGCTATGGGTGTGAAGGTGACGCTGGCGTGCTACTTCAAGGCGACTTCCAACAGTCATGGGTTCCGTTTTGAGGGCCCTAATATCAGGACTGTAGCAGATTGGGATCTAAATCGGCCCTTCTGTGGAAACACCAGCGTAGCTACACACAAACGCGGATGTCTCGCAGCGATTGCTGCAGCAAGTCAATTTTGGGAAATCAATAAAACGATTCATGGTTAGTGAAACGTCCTGTCAGCAATGCGCTGGTGTCATTGCTCTTTTGCAGGCGCACTCAGTTCGTCAGCATGGACGGGAATCTTTGGCACATCCTGCACTTCGCACTTGCCAGCTTTGCAATACGTGCAAATCTCATCTCTGCTCACTTCATAGTCCCTTTGTAGGCACTCTTGAAAATTGCCCCTGCAATGGCCTCAAACTATGTACGCCCCCCAAACCCTAAAGCGCATTTTCTTAAGTAAGTCATCCATGGGGTCGGTCCGCTGAGGCTCGCAAGTACTGAAGTGTCCTGGCCGCTGCCGATCATGGGAGGTGTTCCACTCTCTCTTTGCTGTTCTTACGATGTACATTGCAGATCGAGTTTAGGGATTAGGGCTTAGGGCTACTGCACTGCAGATGGCAGTGGTCGGAAACAACGGCCACCGCAAAACAAGGCTGCTGTAGCCTCACGGGATGAAACGGCCTAGGGATTCCTCAAAGTCAGCTTCTGCCAACATCACCCAACAATCTGAAAAAAGAACGACAGCCAAGAAGTCAGGGATTTTATGTTGTAGAGAAATCCACCTGCCAGTAGCCCTAACGACTGTAAACCCCAAACCTGTAAACCTACAGCACATCAAGCTAAGAACCCTTAAGGGTTTAGGGGTTTAAGGTTTAAGGGTTTGGGGGGTTAGGGCTTAAGGGGTTGGGGGTTTAGGAAGTTCCGTCAAAGACTTCCAGACATGGGAATTTGTCGGCAGAAATTGCCTTTGCAATATCTTCGGAAGGGAGGCTCAGAAACCTTTTGTATTCCCTTGTGGCCCTTGCGAATCCTGGGGTACCATTGGGCAACTCTAAAATGATTCTAACCTACTGATGGCTACTCGGAAATGTGGATCCCAATGGAAGACTGAGTACGAGCAGTCCTCATCTGAGCTGCAGTCAGTATTTCCTACAGAATTTAATGGACATGAGTTCCTTCTGAGGGACTACACAAAGCTCCAAGAAAGAAAGCTATCTCCACTATCAAGGGGTTCGTTCATTAGCCTCATATTGACACCCTAAACCCTAAAGCCTAAGCCCTTAACCCTAAACCCTAGTAGCTTGTACAATGTCTGTACAATGATGACGTAATTTCCGTGTTCTTCTTCCTGAGGTCCAAGGTTTGGGTTATCCTAAACCCCAAACCTTTAGGGCATTTTGCTCAGGTTGTGGCTAGTTACGTCTAGGTGGGAAATTCAGAAATGGGAGTTGCATACATCGAGGGACCCATTTCATACTCCATCTACTATGAAACTTTTTATTGGTAACCCACTACTCCACCACAAACGGCCCCTCATGTCCAAGAACCTTAATCCCTACAACCCCCATGTAATCACAGTTTCCATTTCATTCTCAAGTTCATTTTTCATTTGATTGTCCGCTTTTGGGATTATATCCCTTAACCCTCAACCCTATATGAGCTACAGTCTAAACTCCTAGTATCCCCCTTAATAAGCCCTATAGTATAGGCCCTATAGTAGTCCCATATATAATCCCCTATATAACCCCCCTTTAAGGAGTTTAGACTATGGCTCATATGCTCCCCATTAAATCACCAACTACCAGGGCTTCCGGCCCGAGCAGCAGCACCACTGTACCACCCCAAAAGCCGAAGGGCGGATAGGGCCTGATTCTTTTTGAAAGGGTTCGTAGTTTTTAAATTTGGGTACACAAGGGACATATAGGGTTTAGGGTTCAGAGGTTTAAGGTCTGATTTTTTCTCAACATGATAGATTTGATTAGGTGCCCTTTTCTGGGAGCACCTACACCCTAAACCTCACAATACGAATTTCACCCTAAACCCTCAAACTTGAATCCCTAAACCCTAAATATTGTGGCTCCTCAATTTTGACAACTCCCATCTTGGGCACCACTCTACAGGACTTTTCTGGGTTTTGGGCTTACGGAGCTTCTTCAGGTTTGCCTTGTTCTCAGGAGGGGATTGGGGAATACATTGTATCAAATCATTTTGCTTTATCCCTGCTGAGAACGAGTAAGTTACGTAGGTATCAGTTCTCAAAGCTATGTTGTCCTTTCTGAATGGGCATCTCGATACTAATTCCGCTAGTGGTATTGTAAACGTGGTAGTTGCCCTTCAAAGGGGGATCCCGATATAGACCCCAAAATGCCAGAACCCTTCTTATGGGGTCCCTGAAAAAGGTACACCTAATTTGGGGAAACCTCCACAAAACACCTGAGGCATGTTTCCCGTCCGATGGCTTACCAGGCACAAGAATCCATGCAAGCTATGCTGTTTTGCTGTTAAGGAACTTAAAGTAAGTTACCATAAAATGAGCATATAGCACATACTGGGGGTTTACTCATTATAGTAAGTTAAGTTCCTTAACAGCAACCCAGTATGAAACTGGATGCTGCATGTAGCTCTGGCAGAATTGGATCTGGCAGCTTCTAAACAAACATGATCTTTTTGAGGGCCCCTTTAACGGTTGAGTGGGCGAACTGTTTTGGAAGATTAACATAAACTTTCCGTACATGGCACAGATGATCAACTCCTTAAAATCTGCGTCGTGCTCTCTTCAGGCAGGTAGGCATGCGGCGGCGCTCGGATCAGCGCAACCAGCAGTAACTGGGAGAAGCATTCGATCGTCTGGACCTCGCGACCCCTGTGACTCAGAACATATGGTAGTTTCCCAAAATAAGGAGAACCCAATATGGACCCCATAATACTGGGTTGGCCCCTAAAACCCCTTGAAAAATATTAGTGTATAGGGTCCCTTATTAAACCCATTAGGGAAAATATTAAATATCCCAGGAGCCTACCAAGAATATTAGGATCCTGATTATACGCATGCTTCAGGCAAACGCGAGCAGGACTCAGCTGGGTCTCGGACTAGTTGAGTCATGAGCCTCAACCGCACAAGGTTTAGGGTTTAGGGGAAACATTGCTGTAGGGCTTTAGGAGGGCTATATGAACTGAGTCAATATTACCCAGATAATTAATGGATATGGTTTCCTTATCAAGGACTATATTGGGGACATTACTACACTACAAGAAAAGCCCTATGTACCTTGCTAAGGGTCCCTTAATAAGGCAAATAATGACAGTAGCTCTTTTGAGGGTTACACAGGGTTGATATGAGCCATAGCCTAAACTCCTAGTATCCCCCTTAATAAGCCCTGTGGTAGTTCCCTGTATAATCCCTATATAACCCCCTTTAAGTTTACACTATGGCTCATATGGGGGTTATATACGCTATTTTCACCTGGCTTCCTGGGAGCATTTTGCACATCCAGGCTGGGGCCCTGGCAGGCTGGGCGAGCGGCCGGCCATGCGTGCCTTAGGCTTAGAGTTTAGGGTATAGGGGGTTTAGGGTTTAGGGTTTAGGGGGTTTAGGGTTTAGGAAGTTTAGGGTTTAGGGGGTCTAGGGTTTCAGGGGTTTAGGGTTTGGGGAGTATATAAGGATTATATAGGGCTATGCAGGGATAATGGAAGAAAATGGAAGCTACTATTCAGGGTTTATTGTTTAGGATCTCTCGCCTCCAGTTTACATTAATCTCCAATAAATTCTTATCTTATGGACCCCCTAGGGAATGTATTGGGGTTTGCATGGTTATTTAGGGCACCATATGGTTATGTAGGGATAATCTATGGTTTTTGTAGGGTTGAATAGAAATACAATAAGGTCTTATATTCATGGATCCACTTTTTACAGCCGTTCCCCCTTTCCTCCGACGGAACAGGAAGCGGAAGCCACTGTTTAGGGTTTAAAGTTCATACGGAAAGTACCCCACTAATAGTAATCAATGGAGAATCAAATGGAACAAGACATGGAATAGAAACTGGGATTATGGAGTGGTTTAGGGGGATGGGATTTCCACAGTAGAAGCGCCCCTTTTGTGGAGTCCCAATTTTCAAGATTATAACATATCGGGTCCATATTGAAGGAACCTTTTCATGGAAGCCCCACACAACAGCAGCGTCTGACTCTGTTTCATTCTTTATCCTGTTGTTAATTTGATTCTCCATCTTCCGTGTTATATCCCTGAACCCTATATACACCTATATCACCCTATACGATCCCAATGTCGAAAAACTCGCCCTAAAACCCAAATAGTAGTTTCCATCTCCTTAACCACTATCTTTTTGATTCGACTCTCCAATCCCCTGCATAACCCTGCATATGCCCTGGTAAAAAACCCGTATATATGTATATACATATTTTTTTTATACATATGAGCTATAGTCTAAACTCCTAGTATCCCCGTTAATAGCCGCTATATTAGTCCCCTATATAATCCCTTATATAACCCCTCTTAAGGAATTTAGACCCAAACCCTATAGTAGTTTCCATTTCATTTCCATCATCCCAATATAAACTCAATATGACCCAATATAACCCTAGTATAACCCCAATATAACCCCAATTTCACACCAATATAACCCTAATATAACCCCAATATAACCCTAATATAACCCCAATATAACCCTAATATAACCCCAATATGACCCTCATAGAAGCTCTTATGTTCATGATCAAGGTGGATAAGTGAAGTACCGCGGCGGCCCGTGCAGCGAAGGTCGAGGTGACCTCATCCGCGCGTGAAGTTTTGTTGCGCCTTTGGGATTGGGGTTAGGGTTTAGGGATTGGGGCTTAGGGTGAGGGTTTGGGGTTTGGGGTTCAAGGTCAGGGGATTATGGAAAATAAAATGGAAAAAACTACTATATGATATAGGGTTTACATAGAGGCTATTGATGGATAATGGAAAAGAGATTTGAAACTACTATTCAGGGTTTAGATGGGTTTAGGATTTGGTGGTTTCCCCAAATAGGGGACCCCAATATCGACCCAAAAATACTACAGTCCTTATTATGGGGACCCCCAAGAAGTATCCCTAATTTTGGGAAACCACCCATTAGGGTTTAGGATAGGGAAGTTTCAAAAAAGCGAAGGACTCTTTGAGGTGATAATAAGCCAACGCTTCCTCCTGTTCATGAGAACTCCCAGATGGACTGTTGGGGGGCTGGCCTGCGAATAGGGCTTTAGGGCCTTTCCTTGTGTTCAGATGCTCCATGAATCGCTGCAGATGCACAAGCAGCCACATCCAGAAGCTAAAGCGGTGTCGCGGGAGACTGTGATGTAATGGCTGCTGCATCAAACCTCCCTGCTCCTTCTGTGGGATTCGCTGCACTTGCACGGTCATGGATTCTTCTGACATGACTATTCTGAACATATTGGTTGTAACGAGATCGCATTGAAGGAGACATCTTGGAGTCTGTCTAGTCCCTGGAGCTCAAGCTACCAGGGCGTCTCGTCACGTGCATAGACACAAGGCGAGCACCTTCCCACTTCAAGTTGCATCCGTGCATTACACATTGAGAAAGGGCTGAGATAAACTAAGCCGCGGCCAGTATCCGAGCAAACGACTGCAGTAGCCCAATGGCCAGGTTCAGATGTCATTATCGCACGAAATCGTCACGCAGATCGGCGACAGACAAACATGGTTGAAAAGGAGGTCTAGCATTTCATAGTGGTAGTGGTACGACCTTGTCAAAATCGTTTGTCCGTGGCCTCTGGCGTCCGCTTGGAATTGGATGCATGTGCTCGGACTCCAATTCAAAGGCTGGCAAAGAGGAGGAGAGGGGGAGCAGGCAAGGGAAGGCGCAGGGGTTTGGATCACGAGAAACACCACTGTACCAGTAGTAGGCGGTACTGCTCGTAGTGTAACGTACAGACATTGTCAGACAAACATCCCCGCAATATCCAGGACCCCGGCGCTCAACACAAGATTGAAGATCAGCCACCAATCAGGCCTGCGTCTGCATCAATGAAAGAGTCTGCCCAACTAAACTTACTGGTGGTTCGTGGGGAAAAGGGGACTATGATCCTCATATAGTCCCGATATACTATACTCCCCTATTCCTTACTAACCCCCAGGAAGTAAATTGGAAATGCGTGTGTAGGCCTCAGCTGTCAACCTCTTGTGTAGAACTTCCTCATTGATGGCACCCATAGAGCCTGTGGTACCAGTCGACGATTCTGGGACCCACCTTGTCCCACTGACTAGGGAAGACCTCAGGGGCGCGAGAACCACAACCTCGTTGCTCCAAGGTCTGCAACTGGCTGTTTCACCCTTTCCTGTGGCGCGTGCAATAAAAATTCCTGCGAGGTGCCTGGGCCAACAGCGTACCACGCACAATATCAGAAGGCGTGAAACATCAGGCATACCTGTAGGACAAAACATCGTAGGACGAACCTCACGTCTGCCTCTCATTCAGGCACGTCTTCCTACAGAATCTGTTTAGTCCAGCTGCTGAATGAAAATCTGCTCTTCGACGTTTTCGCCGAACCTTGTGGACGTGAGCCAAGAAATGGGTTGGTACGGGTAAGGGCCGGCAATGTGAACAACAGAGGCACCGGCTTTTCGAAGGAAATCTTGACAGTGGAACCTCGGCCAAACTACCCAAGATAACAAGTCACTCTCATATTATGGCTATTCTTATGATGATGATGATTACTACTACTACTACTACTACTCCTGCTCCTGCTGCTGCTACTGCTGCTGCTGCTGCTACTACATCATCAACCACCTTGGGCCAGCACTTAGCAAGGCCAAAGACACCGAAGACGCAAGTACTTCTAAACAGCCCACCTGCACAGGTGGACAAGATCGTCGCATGAATCCGGGAGCTTGCTGCTACTCTGTAACTGGGATAACTGTGCTGCACTATGTGAGCTACATATAGATGAATACATATCCACATATACAGGGGCATATACACATCTATATGCATATATATGTAGAGCTACACAGAAAGCAAATGCAATAGGTTGGGCTGCTAAGTGTCCGTCTGTGAAGTCGTGAGACGAAGCGGAGGCTGAAGACCTTAAGGCAAGCACTAACTTCGGTAGGGTTTTGATTTAAGGTTTAGGAGGACTGAGAAGATAATGGCAGCTCCCAAAACTAGTGTCCCAATTTGGTATTCCTAAATGGGTGGTTGCGAAAATTATGGTCCCTTTTTGGGTACTCTAAATATTAGGTGCCGTATTATAATAGGGATGATTAAGGATCCAACAAGGGACCATAATTTTGACAACCACCCAAATATTAGGTGCCATAATGTGCTCCATGACAAAGGGGCTCATAATTATGAGAACAGCCCACATGCCTAAGGCAGAAGTGGGGAGAATAGGGTTTAGGGTTCATGGTGTAGGGTATGAACCTCCCAAAGTGCATGATAACGATGATGACAAATTTTCAGATTACATAATTGCACTGCGCTGTGTTGTATAAGACGTGCACGCGACTTCTACGAACGGCCGGAGGCTCCAGGAAGTCGCAGCAAGCAGCTCCAGGAATGCATGGCAGACAGGCATCCAAACATTACTGCAGTAGAACAATCCCAACAAGGATGGGTTCCTCAACCCTACTGTTTAGGGTTTAGGGCTTAGGGTTTAGGCTTCAAATTCAGCTGGACTCTCATTCTTGTTATCAAGGTTTGCAGTCAAGCTTGAGTTCCACATATCAGATTCAGGCTTCGGCGCTGTGCTGTCCTGCGTAGCTCTTGCCGCTTGCATGGCCTGGCAACCCTAAACTCAGGCTTGGGGGCAGATGTGAAGTGTAAACATGTACACGCCCATGGGGGTTTCCCAAAATCACCTCTTTGGGGTCCCTATCATAAAGATTACAATATTTTGGGGTCTATATGGGGTGTCTCTATTTAGGGAAGCCACCACATAAACTTAATACCAGACTGCATTGCAGTGGTGCCCCTCGTAGTAATCAGTCGCGAGTTTCTATGCGACTGTGGCGGAAGCTTTCATTTCTTTAGCAAAATTGCCTGACTCATCTCTTTGCGAAAAGGCGAGCACCGAGACCAGAAAAGAAGGGACTCAGCCCAAACTCGTCAAAACCTAAACCCTAAGGGTTTAGGGTTTAGGGTAATATGCATATATCCCTATATAACCCATACATCACAAGTAAAGGGACCCCTAATCATTATGGGAAACCCGCAACTCCATATATACCTATATGAATTCTGTATCCCCTCCAAAGGGATCCCCTGATTTTGGGAAAGGAACCCAACTAAGGATGAAACCATGGCCCTTAGTATGCTTATGGGCCCTTTAATCTGGAGGTTTAGGGTTTAGGGTTTATATATATATATATATATACCCCGACTGGTCCCTGGAATCCCCTTAAGAAGCCTAAGGGCCCTACAGCACATACTAGTGGCCCATACTTCTATGCTTAGACAACTGGCCTTGCCTGACTTGCCCAGGCTATGCCAACCTCAAGCCGTGAAAGGCAGCTTTCCCAACGCGTGCCTTGAAAGGGGATATAGGTAATACATAGGGGTTATAGGGTTTCCCAAACTTCGAGGTATCATTTTGCGGGGACCTATCATAGGGACTATTTAATAGCATCTCGGGCTGTATATTGGGATCTCCTTGGAAACTACTAAGTGCCTGCAATGTAAACCATCGCTGCGATGAGCACTGTGACTGCGGCTGTAACAGCCAGCACGCCAGAAAGCTGCGCAATGGAATACCTCTTCCGAAACAGAAGGTACCTCGGTGCACTGCTAGCCAGCTGCATGTTTGGGGGTTTCCCAAAATTAGGGGTACCCTCTTGGGGGTCCCCATAATAAGGGCTATAGTATATTAGGGTCTCTATGGGGTCCCCTTATTGAGGGAAACTACCGCTTCAGGGTAGAGCAAACTATCACTGAGCCCAGCGCTGGACCACAACGCCTACCTCATCAATTGTATCTAACCTGCTCAACTGGTAGTTTCCCAAAATTAGGTTACCCCAATATAGACCCCCAAATACTATAGTCCTTATTATAGGGACCCCCAAAAGGGTACCCCTAATTTTGGGAAACCCCTAACTAATAGGCCCAGCAACTCAAGCTGGAGGAGTCTAAGAGCGCAGCCATCATTCGCAGATTGGATAACATCATGCACAGGGAGGCTGGTAGGCGGACATACGCCTGCAGCAGTAGAATCAGCTTCGTGATTACGTTTTTCCCGAATGCGTAGCAGAAGGGTTCCCGTTTTAAAGTTGGGGTC